GAAGAAGGGTGAGCTCCTCTCAAACCATTCACAGCCTTGGAAATCCAACAGAAGGTCAGTTATGAGTTGGTTCCAATCTGATGGCAAATGAGCTTGAGCTGAGCCATTTAGTGCATTACGAGTTGGGCCACTGATCAAAAGGTTGATGGTTCAAATGCATCCACTGCTCCTCAGAAGAAAGAGAAAACCCAGACAGTCTCCTCTTTCAAAGCTTTCTAGCTTTGGAAAACTTGATGCAGGAAGACCATGAGTACTCCACAGTAATGGGTGGGTGTTTTGACATATACATAACAAAAAGTGGAAATGTATACAATTCCGTGTGAGATTAATATATTCACTGTGTTAACAATCATCACACCATTATTCATGTGCAGAAAGTTTCCATCAGCTCAAACTGAGAACTGCCACTTAGTTAACATTCCATTCCTTTCTCCTCCTCACTCCTCAAGCACTGATAAACGTTCATCTCTATGCACTTGTCTATTCTACAGCTGGTGGCCTAGTGGTAAGGAGTCATGCTGCCAACCCAGAGGCACGTGGTTCAAGTCCACCAGCTACTCTTCAGGAGAAAGACAGGCAATCTCTTCCTGTGTGATTTACACAAAACCCCGCTGGGGTCAGCCAGGAGGTTCCAGCTTGACAGCACATCACAATAGACCTTTAATATAAGTGGAATACGTGGGGATTTTTTTGTTTATCTGACTTATTCCACTCAATAAATTTTCAAGATTTGTCCATGTCATAACATATAGAAGCACATAATTTTTCCTTTATGGATGAACAGCCACTGTACAAATAGAAAACATTTTTTTTTAATCCATTCATCTGCTGATGGGACACTTGGGCTATTTCTACCTTTTGGTTATTGCAAAGAATGCTGCCATGAGCCAAGTGTGCGAGTCCTTGGGGCATGGATCTATGGAACACTAAGCACAGCCTTCGACTGCTAATTAAACGGTGAGTAGGCTGGACCCAGTTATACTCCGTGGGAGAAAGGCAGGCTGTCTGCTTCCATGAAGATCTGCTGTGAAGTGAGCTCAGACTCAGCTCGAGCCTGTGAACAACACAGCAAAGCCCTGTGTGGTCCTGCACCGTCCCGCCATCTCGGATGTTTAACCCCCATGTCACTAAGTCCACCCAACTTATTGAGGGGCTTCCTCTCCTTCACTGACCCCTAGTTTTTCCAGGCATGATGTCCTTTTCCAGGGAAGGGCTCCAATGACAATATGCCAAAAATCTTTTAGAGCCTTGGAAACTCTATAGGGTAGTTTCTACCCTGCCCCACAGGGCGCTTGTTTGCCTTCGTGTCAGAACCGACCCATGTCTCACCCTCCAATGGGTTTTCAGAGACAGGTAATCAATCACAGGGGAGGAGACTGCCCATCCTTCTCCCACAGAGCAGCTGGTGGATTCTAACCACATGCCTTCTGGGGATTAACATGCAGCTTCTTCCCACCAGGCCTCTTACAGGGTCACTAGAGGTCTGAATTTATTTGAATAACAATGGATTTCATTTTGGTTAAGAGTAAAGTCTGCAAAAGGGGAGAGTTTGTGTATGAAGGAAAAGTCAACGATTTTCAATGAAAAGAGAAGATGAGGCAGAAAACTTAAGATTTGAAAAACAAAGCAGTTCTGTGTGGTTCTAGCTCTCCTGGGGGTCAGTGTACCTAGAGAGTCATTCATTGATTTTTAAAGGCTCTGTGTGTGGTCAAGGTTGCCATTTCCAAGTGAGGTGCTCTGGGGGATGTGGGAGAAGCCATTCCCACGGTGCTGGTGTACCTGACTGGTGAGCAACCAAATGTCAATGGGACCAACAGGGAGAAACAACAAACGCCATGGCTGGTGGGGCGGGGCTGGCGGGTCCTGGAAGAGCTTCCCAGACCAGAGGCCGGCCTTTCTCAAAATCTCTGTCAGTCCGGACACTTAACCTCCACCACGGGCCTGCCTCTCTCTCCTGCCTGCATTTTCTTTCCTATACATAATGAGCAATGTGGTTCAATCACCTTTGAAGGGGGACTCTTTCTCCTTGAAACAGGAGACTGATGAGAAAGAAGCCCTTAAATACGCAAACTTGAAATGACTTAAGTTTAAAAGGTCAATATCAATGGCATCGTTTAGAAGTCCCAAGTCAGTCTCACAGAGCCCTTTTCCTTTTGGGGTCCCTAAGACTAGAAGCTAGCATATCTGCAGTTTCCTTCTGCATAATCCCCTTAACACGGACAGGCTTCCACGATATGCCAGAAAGAACAGAGCTGTAGAGAGAATGTGTAACCCAAGTGGCCGCCAAGCTTGACCAGAGAAGATTAAAATACCCTTTTCCTTTCTTCCTGCTTCTGTAAGAGAATATTCTGGGCTGAGGTATTGGATTTTAACATCCAGGAAACACAGAGCTATGTCTACATCCTGAAGTCGACCAGCTTGAGAAAGAAGAAGAAACCCATTTATTAGAGACCCGTGATCTTCTCAGCTAGCTGGGATCCCCAAGGGCAGAGCTGCTGAGGCCTGCACTGCTGGCGATTGCCAGCACATGCCTGCAGTCGTGAACCCAGCCAGGCTTTCAGCAGTGAATTCCACCCAGTCCGAGTGCACCAGCTGCTCCCTGGAAGAAGGATGGGCAATCTCCTCCCGTGCAAATTTACTGCCTCTGAAAACCTGCTGGAGGGTCAGCACTGGGTCAGTTCTGACTCGACAGCATGAAAAACCACCACCACAATCAAAAACCACTCCAGGCACAACCAAGGGGCCACAGTCAACCTCTCCCACTACAGTGCTTTACTGGCAACGAAGGGGCAGGACATCTGGCCAGCCGGCAAAACCCAGGTGTAAGACACTGGCATGAGGCTGTCACGAAACCGTCACCGCAGATGGCCCAAAGAATGTAAAAACCCAGGGTTTAAACGCTGGGTGAGGAAGAGCAACTCACATCTCATTTTATCCAGCCCTGGGCTTCGGATACATCCCAGAATCAAGCCCTCTTTATTCTGGCCCTCTAACAAAGTCCTTGAAAGCACTGAGAAAGCAGGGTCCTTCCTGACAATGACTAAGTCCCCACGAATTCTCAACACCTGAGAATAACTGAGGTATAAGGAACAAAGGCGTGGCCAGCAGGTGATATGAGCGGATGGCCCCTTTTCTTGTGTGTTTGCATCTAAGAGAATTGACTCTAACAATTAATGAAGCCAAATTCACTCTAACAATCATGAGAGTCAAAAGACAATCTGAGAAATATAGAGGCACGTCTGAAATATGTATAAGCAAGGCAAACTCCAACTTAGAGACTTGAGGATTTGGCTGAGAAACATTTTGGCAGTCTGTGAGAAGTACACCTTGCCACTATTAAAACTTTTATAAAGAATTCTGATTCCAAATGCAAAGCACCTACTGTCCAAAGTAGGTAAGTAACTCACAACCACCCTTTAAGAAATATTCTGCACTATGAGAAACACAATCAATTTGCCAAACTTTCTCAAGATGGCTGGACCGAAGCATGATCTTTCAAATAGAAATGACACATTTCTTAAAGCTTTAGTCACTGAGGGATCAGGGAGATTATGTATGTGAAAAACACAACCATTTCTCTGGTACTGATTCTACCAAGAGGAAAATGGTTTGTTCTCTATTGTCAACTCTTAGTTATTTAGCCAATGATCCTAACTGAATATACATACAGCATGTTCAAAACAGCTATAGAATCTCCATGCATCTTTTTAAATGACTGTTATTATTATGCACCACGGACACTTTTGGTAGCCCCACAGAACTGCCTCTTAGGATTTACAGGCTGGAATCTATTTAATGGTCAGATCTTGTCTCCCTCAGAGTTGTGGGAGGGCTTGAACAGCCAATCTTTTGATTTGTATTCAAGTGCTTTAACCACTGTGTAATCAGGGCTCCTTCTTACGGCTGAGAAATGCAATGAGTTGCCGTCAAATCGGAATGGACCCAGCCGTGGCCGACCCTCCGGCAAGTTTTCGGAAGCTGTAAACTGACATGGGAGGAGGGCAAGTACCCATCTTTCATGATTCGTTTCCTTTTTATATGTTCCATTTTGTCCTCAGAACTGGTGGGAGATTACTGACGACCTTCAGCACGCAGATGGAAACCGTCTGCCTGCTTGAAGCAGAGGCTGTGAGGTGGTGGTTACAGATGAAGATCAAAGACTGGCTCTCGGAGTGGATTACTCAACATGAAGAAAGTGAAAACTCTCACAAATGAACAGGCTACATCATGACAAATGGGGGGAAAGACTGAAGTTGTCACGGATTTAATTTTATTTGAATCCACAGTCAACACACATGGAAGTCAAGAAACCTAACAAATGTATCACAATGGCCAAATCTGTTGAAAAGCCCTCTTTCAGATGTTAAAAACCAGACATGTCATTGGGAGGACTCAGAGGCCCCAGACGAAAGCCATCATTTTTTCAACTGCCTCGTGTGCATATGAAGGCTCGTTAATGAGCAAGGAAGAACAATCATGCTTGAATGGGGCGCTGGCAGCAAAGAGGACTGGGTCCCCCATGGACCGCCAGAAGAGCAACAGGAGCGTCCTGAAGACTAACAGCTACAAGTCTCCTCAGAAGCCAGGATGCCCAGACTGTATCCCACGTGCTCTGGCCTTATCAGGAAGAGATGCCTCTCCTGCTTGATAAAGTAGACGACCAGCAAAAACTACAAAGGCCCTTGACAAGACGGCTTAGCAAGAACAGACCCAGAGATGACAACAGCTCGTGAGGAGGCTGCAGGATGGAGGACACAGGATCACCAGGAGTCAAAAAACCACGGCACCTAACCACCACCACCACCACCACCTTCCCTTTCAAAGATTCCTAAAAACCAAACAAAGCTCTTCTTCACCTGCACAGGGACACTGGCAAGTATAAAACATATTACTCAAAGGGGGACTGCTTTCTTTTCCTCTGGAACGGTTTCTGCCAGATCCTGCACGCTGCAGTTCTTCGGGGATGTGCCCAGAACACATGCCCACCCACGGGCACTCACTCTGCCTTCGCCCTTCCCAAGCAGCCCTTTGTGACACATGCTGTCGGCCCTCCACCCGATGAGGTTCGAGACGCCTGGGCCAGCAGGGCCCCAGAGGCCAGGGCCGGAGCAGGTCACCCATCTTCTCCACCCGATGGGCACCAGGGCCATCTGCGGGAGGAAAAGCAAACCAGAGCTGCGCCCAGGCCGGACATCTCCAGCCTGGAGATGTGTGACACACATGGTGTTAGCAGTGACAACCAGAGGCCACCTCTTGGCTGAATCCCGGAAAGGCAGAGGACCGTGCGGCAGTTCCCTGCAGGTGGTAGAGGCAGCGGAGGCCCTGCTTCTCCAGCTGCTCTCAGAACGTGCCACAAGGAAGGTGCCACCGCCAGCCAGGCTCTGAGCACCTGCATTTTCTTCTGTGGTCATTTGTCATGAAATGGTGATGAAGGCTCCACCCAAGAACAGATATGGCTCCCAGAGCTGCCCTGGACACACCCCAAGAGAATCTGGGCACAGATGCCAAGGCGAACCTGCCGCCAGTACACTCGGACCTGGAAGAAGGCTCAGGACTGGTAAAGCCCACTGGGGAAGGCAAAAGGAGTGGTCATTCACCCCACAGAAGTGGGACTTCATGCCCTAAAAAAGCTCTGCTGTGCTGCACAAGAAAGTGGCTCTTTTCAGACAATGAGCCAAGATTTAGCTCCAAGTGTTATTACTCCCACCCACCATGAAGACAGAGCGACCAGAAGCCCCAAACGTGGGGAGGACAGCTCAGGAGCAACGGACAGTAGGCAGCACACAGCTCAAGCTGGGCCCCGAGATCCAGAAGCCCCCATCTCTCCTCGTACGAGAACAGACTGCAGACTTACACAGGCCTCACTAACTAGAAGCCTTTGAAAATGTTGCCAGACAATCTGTGGAGGTTTTAAATAAACCTGCTTTAATGAAATGATTGCTTAATTGATAATAACCATGAATCATTGCAGCCCTGGTGGCATGGCGGTTAAGCTCTTGGTTGGGAACGAAAATGTCAGCAGTTAGAAACCACCATAAAGATGTGGCAATGGGCTTCTTTCCACAAAAAGCTGTGCAGCCTTAGAAACTTTACGGGGCTTTGTCCTCGAAGGCTGCTACAAGACAGGACAGACTGGACAGCACTGGGCTGGGGTTATGGGTTTGAAGAGTCACTGGGAATGTTATTTTACCAGATGCTAAAAGGGGAGAGGCCACAACACCAAGAAAGATTAGGGGAAACTGGCCTTAATGGTCACTATTCTCTCTTTGTCACCACCCCTCCCCAAAGAGAGAGAGGAGGAAATTCTTCCTCCAAGGTCATGTCACTCTTCCTGGCTGAGAAACCACTAAAAAGTTACTTCTACACACAGCAATTAGTGGCCCTGGATTACAGACTCCAGTAAATCCATGAATCAAAGAAAATCCAGAAAGGGCTATGTCACCAGTGACTGTGCGTGCTCTCTGGAGAGGGAATTAAAAGTGACAGGGCTGAGGGCTAATCTCAAGCACTTTTTAATTTAACATGACCCAGCACATTGCTCTGAACCTAGGCAACGCCTCACTCAATATTTATTGATTGCTTCCGGGTTGAGTGATAAGGGACCTTTGGTATTAACTGTGCTTCTGTAGTTGGTTGTGGTTTTTTTTCCCTTAAAAGGGGAAAGGAGGAATCTAAGAAGCATGTGGTCCCAAAGTTCTTAACAGAGAGGCCTCTGGGGATGGGCGGCCCCAACCCAGGAGTGATTATCACTCAATGATCAATACACCTGGAGTGTGTAATGAAACCAGCACGAAAGGAATCTATACAACCTGGAGTAATTGAGATAGGATGAGTCTGTCTCAATTACAGAAATCACAGGAAAATGAGGCATTCTCACTGAATATACCAATAAATCAAGATTTTTTAAAGTGGGGCAGTTTAGTTACACTTGTCCATAATCCTTTCCTATACGTCTCAAGGGGGGAAAATTATATAATTGAGCCAAATATTCCAGAGAAATTCTAGTTCTTTTGCTTTTGTGATACAACAAGACGAATTCACATTCTTTTTTTTAAAATATTTTTATTGGCTTTCTTAAATAACATCTTTACGTTATGGTTCATTCATATACATTGTGTTTTATACAATCTTTCATGGAC